AGTGCACATCCATCGGCTGCCTTCTGCACGCCCCCTACCAGGGATCGAGCCCGCAACCCGGGCACGTGCCCTGACCTGGAATTGAACCTTGACCTCCTGGTGCACTGGATGATGCTGAGCCACACTGGCCTGGGTGAGAAGGCCTTTCTGACGCTCCGAGGAGAAGGGGTGAGTCCCATACCTTGACTCAGGAATAGCTGCGAGGTTGGGTGGTAATCTGCCCGCAGGGTGGTTGTCTTGGATTTTATAGAAGTGCTTGTGAATGTTGGTTCAGTTTTTATGGGTCCCGAATCTCAGGTTGTGACACCATATCACAGTTTTCTAGTACCTGTGCCAGTGGTTTAATTATTTATTTATTTATTTATTTATTTAATATATATATATTTTTTATATATCTTTATTGATTTCAGAGAGAGGGCAGCAGAGGGAGAGAGAGATAGAAACACCAATGATGAGTCATTGGGGATCGAGCCCGCGACCCGGGCATGTGCCCTGACTGGGAATCGAACATCGATCTCCTGGATCCTAGGTCGATGCTTAACCGCTGAGCCACGCCCGGCCGGGCCAGTGGTTTAATTATTAGAAGTGGGAAAGTTATTGGCCGTCTCTAGCCTTGGGCCCCAGGCCCCAGTCGAAGCTCCAGGGTGGGTGGTTTATATACACTGCTCTAGGCCTGCACTCTCTTCAGTGTGAAATTGTTACAGATCTTCTAACCGCATAAGCTCTCTCCTACCAGGCTTCCCACTGCCCCCAGGAATAGTGACCAAATTCTGCCCTGTCTTACAGCTACACATATGACAGCTCACCCACCCTGCCTGCTTTGGACACTCCCAGTCCAAATCTCTCCCCATCAGAGAAACTCTGTTTTTAATTTCTTCTGGCAAAGGGCAGACGTGGTGGTTGCTAGGAGCTCTCTGTATGTCCAGAAGGTTCCGTTGCCATGAGCAGCATGACTCAATTGCTCACATTCTTTCTGGCCTATGGAGGAGGTTCCAGTTCTACCCCCAAAGATGCCAGCCGTTTCCTCCAGGAGCCAGGCTCCTGTAGATGCTTCACGGCGTTCAGGCAAGTGGCACGTGCATGTTATCAGTTACAGGGGAGAAGGTGGCGTCAGTCCTCCGGACGTTTCTTAGACCTGGGACTTGAAATGGGATGTAAAGGGTTAACAGAGTTTGCCTGGGGGGAGCATTTCCTGGGAGTGCAGAGCAGCAGCCGAAAAAACACCAGAAGAGAGAGTCCTTGCTGTGGGGGGCGATCAGAACCAGGCCTCAGGAGGGAGCTGGAGAGAAGATTGGCAGGTGGGTGCAGTTGCTGCAGAGGGGACAGTGGCCTCTCCATCGTCACTGTCCTGCCTCCTGTCCCTCCTCCTGCTCCGTCCCCCTTTCCTACCCCCTCCAGCTCTTTCCTTGTTTTTCCATCGGCCTGTCTTGGCTGACAGTGTCTTGTGAGCTGTGCCCCCATACCCTGCTGGACTAAGGCACGGCTCCCGCCGCCTGTCACTGCCTGGCCTGGCCTCGCTAACACAGCTGAAGGCTTCTTGTTGGGGTCAGCTCTGATTCTGCACAGAAAACTGTTTTATCCGATTTGCTTCTTTGCAAAGCAAGGTGAAGCCTTGTCATTTCTCGATGACACTTCCTGTAAAGCTGTGTGTGTAACTCTCTTTGGGGTCAGGGCTCTGGGCCGAGAGTTAGTCAGCGGGTGGCCTCTCAAAGCTTCCCGACTCCAGTCATCGAGTTTATGTCCCTCGACACCCACGTCACCTGTTTCCCACCCCAGGGTCATGCCCTCTGCGCTCAGTCACAGTGGTGCTGGGTTTGTAGCCCAGCCCCCTTCCTCTCATGGCCTGAGGATGCTGCACTGACTGTGCCTGTTTCACACCTTCCTGACTTGGTGTTTGTCGCTGTGCTCACCTTGGAGGCCCAATGTTTGCCACAGGAGAGGCTGCGGCACCTCTAACACTTCACTCCATTCTCTTCCTTTTGCTTCCATAGTTCCCGGGCAGCCACTTTCTCTTCTGTCCAGTCCACGGAACGGTTTAGCAGCCTCCGAGGCCCCCACACTTCTATATGAGCCTTGAGCATTCCTGTTTTCTCTGATTAGTGGGTCACCGAGGCCGGGCCCTACCCCTCACATCCTGCTTGAACCACCAGAGCCTGCAGGGCCTCAGGGCCACCTCTGACATCCTCTGTTCACTGAGGCACAGACCAGAGGCAACACTTGAAAATGTCATCCTGCCAGTGTGGGCTATTCTCAACGTGGTCAGAGCCTTAGAGAAAGGCTAGAAGGAGGTTTGTCTGCCTCCCGAGAGCCTCCGTGAGCAGGGGTGGGACGTCTCCTTAACTGTCCAGGGTAGAGCTGAAATGCCCACGCTAGCTGTTAGAAGGTCCCGCAGAGTGGACAGAGACTTGCTGCTGCCCCTTTAACTGTTTTTTAAGGTGCTGGGTAACTTGGGACTCCTATTGGCCTCTCACATGAAACCCTGACGTGTCCAGCTTGTTATTCAGAGGGGTTCCCTGGATTCAGCTCAAGGCGGACACATCCCCTCTCTTCTCCTACTAAGCCCGATGGCCCTGAAGTGCTACTTTCAGAAAGGAGTGAAGCACAGAGCTGTCTCAAAGCAGCTAGACTGTCCTCAGTCCAAGTATCCTCCGGGCTGGGATGTTGACGAAGGGCCATCTCGGCCACGGCTGGGACTCCTGGGTTTGGAATCAGTCACAGCTTTAGTTTCCCTCGGAGCATCTGAGCTCATAATCCCAGGTTTCCCATCTCTCTTGGTGTTTAAGGTACTAGAGAACTTTGGTCACCACTTCAAGCCATAGCAGGCACATGGGCTCCGATCACTTCTGCAGGTGGACAGCCTGGAGGGAGACGAGTCTTGCTCTGAAACTGTCATCTGGGTTCTGAGTTTGTCCTGGAAAGCAGTAAAAATTACTAACATGTGTGACATGCCTCTAATCCATGTGCTTTCCATCATCAGTTTATCTGTGCCCAGTGTGCACACACATGCATGCAGGCACAGGCGTGCACACACATGCACACGTGCACAAGCACACATGTGCACATGCATGCATGCACACACGCATATGGCTTCCGTTTTTCTAAAATGGGAGGGGCCGTGGTTCCAAAAGGAGATGACATTGTGGCACCTGGAAAGTGCACCCAGTCACATGTTCTGAATGAAATGACACCAGCAGCTTGTCTTTCTTTCATCTCCTCCTTCTGGGAAAGAAACACTCTGATAGGAAACATTAGCTCATTTACAGGCACTGGGACTTAATTCTCTGAAGATGGGAAATGTCTGCTCGCCATTGCGAGCGGCGGGACTGCAGACTTGGAGCTGAGGGTTGCATGAGGGTCTCACGGGCAGGCAGGTGAGTGGACACCCAGCAGTTGCGGCAGGAGCGGGGAGAAGGGAATTCACTCCGATTGCAACAAGAAATTTATAGACTTGGAATGGAAAATTCATCATCAGTGGAGACTTTTAAAAATTGGAACAGATAGCCAGCCAATGGAAAGTGGAGGAATGATGTTTTCTGTTGGCTTTAAAATAGAACATCTGCTCAAGACACAGATGAGGGATTATTAGAGCTGATAGTTTTTAATATTTGGGGGGGGTACAGACCCCACTGAGGATGGAGCACCTCTCCACTGAGCTGCACCTGCAGTTTCAGGGAGCTTGGACTCTGAAGCCTATGCGTGGTCCCTCACTGAGGACCCTGACTCAAGGGACCCATGTCTCCTGGCCTCGTAGTGAGGACCCCACGGCTTCTTTCCCCAAACAGTGAACTCTGAAGCTGAGTCAGACTCTGCGCGTTCTTCCTGCTGGTTTGTAACTTGGCAGCACAAGGTCAGCGTGAAATGGATTATGGGAGAGAAGGTATTTTACTTCAAGTTCCATCCTGTGTCCTAGAGAAGCCAAGTGCTTGATTTCTGAAACCTGTTGGCCCTGTATCATTTCCCTACAAAGGCATCAGGATGAGGTTGGCCTGCAGCCTCTCTCCCTTCCCGGCAGCTCTGGATTTGCAGATGGAAATGCAGACCGAGAAGCCACACTGATGCCTCAGCGCCCTTCCAAGTGGATGCATCTCCTCCTGGTCACTGTGGAAGTCCAGCGGGGCGGGAGGGACGTGATCTCTTTATAATTCTCTCATCAGTTTATGCCCGGGTTTCACTTGACTACAAGTTGGAAAACGGTCAGATCCCCTGGAACACAAAAGAAGAAGTGACTTGGCCCCTCCCTCAGTAAAGTGAGGATGGAGGTGGCACGTGTCTGTGAGCACTAGGCTCTGGATAAGTAGTCTCCCCCTGAGTTTATGTGGCTGTTGTGGTTTTCCTCTGTTCTCCGCAAATAGCCTGTGTTTTACCTTCAAGTCCCTTTATCCCCATTGGAAATTGTCTCTTTGTACTGGAATCAGGACTCTGTGTCTGAATTAAAGTCACCTTAACATGGAGGGGAAGTGAGGGTGGCCCCTGAGAAAGAGCACAATGGTCAGATGTCAGTCTTCAGGTGCTTGACTTCTAAGGCAAACCCTTAAATTCATCATTGGGAACATCTTAATGAAATTAGAAATACTACTGATGAGTAGGGGCCACCCAGTGCTAGCCGAGGTCTCCTTTGCCAGTCACAGGCAGTGTTGGTCCTGTGACAGTTTCTCCTTCCCATTGTTGGGGTTCTTCCCTTTCCCCCACTATAGCCTCCGTGGGCTCCAGGCCCAGTCTGTCCTGCTCACACGGGAAGTACATGAGGCATCATATGTGTGGACAGAGCCCTTACTGGGCCATGCTGGTTGTGTGGGAGCTAGAATTGAGGTGAGGTCAGGCCCTCCCATTCGGCCCCAGTCCAGCATAGCTCTGCTCGGTGACCAAAGTCCCTCTGGACCCTTGGAGGTGGGTTGAGAGCTCCCACCCTGTACGCTCATTTCTGTTTCTGGGATCCAAGCTTAGGGCAGAGTTACATGTCCTGTTCTGTTGATGACTCGCCCCTGTTGTTCCCCCTGCAGAGAATGTTATCAATGGGCAGGACTATGAAGTGATGATGCAGATCGACTGCCAGGTGATGGACACCCGCATCCTCCACATCAAAAGCTCGTCTGTTCCACCCTACCTCCGAGACCAGCAGAGGAACCAGACCAGTACCTTCTTTGGGTCCCCACCCACAGCCACGGAGGCGGCCCGTGTGGTCAGCGCCATCCCGGAGTCACTGCAGTAGCACTGGGCTGCATGGGAAACCAACTGGGACCCTGCAGGCTGGGGAGGGGCGACGGGTGCTTCCTCCTGCCTTCCCGGTGGCACTGCCTTCCCATGGTACCCAAGAACTGCCTCGTGATCGCGTTTGGGGACAGAGAGAAAAGGAGCTGCTCATGTATGTGTCCGCCCATCCCCTGGGAATGCCTGGGATTCAGACGCAGGCCGCCTTTCTCCTGGCCGCGTAGCCCTTTCCCTGCAGTGTGGCCTCAAGTAGACCCCACACTTTCCTGAGCTGCTTCTCCCGCTGTGTGTGTTGTGTTCAGTCTTCATCTTTCACGTCAGAGCTGCTTCCCTCTCTGCCCTTTCATGTGTCGACAGTTCGTCACTGCCCAGGTTCCTGACTAATTCACCGCAAACCCACTGTGCACACTATGCTCATTGGAAACAGGTTTGAAAACCAGAACAGCCAGATGCATGCCCCAGAAGTCAGAACGTGCAGAGCCTCAGGGAAAAAGGGAAAGCCTATCAGTGGCACTTGTCCGCACTCGCTGTCCACGGTTCACACCCCAGCCCACACACACTTGCCTGTTGGGGGCCTGGCGGGTAGCAAGTCTGAGAGAATGAGGTGGAAGGAACGGGCCAGTTGTGGGTCCTGCTACACATGCTTGGACACTGAGTGTCTGGCGTGACTGCTGCCTGCGGGCAGAGCCTCGCTCCCGTTTCTTCTGTGGACTGGAGGCCACTGAGTGTAGCACCCTTGGTGGGTCTTCTCCCTCATGACTGGAGCTGATGCCAGGACCTCAGAATGGACCCCGCCCCCACCTGTCACACAGTGACACCTCCTCAGCTGAGGACAGGCGGGCAGGCGGCTTCAGATGAAGCAAATGAGAGCTTTGCTGCTTGAGAACTGAGGCGTTTTATTCCCGAAGCCCAACTGTGCAGATGGGCAGCCTGGGCTCCTGCTGGGGGTGCGTCCTGTCAGACGGCCATCGTGTCAGCGCTCCAGCGAAAAGACAACATTCTGTCCTCCACGGTCAGAGGGAAGAGCAGAACTAAAACTGCTGCCCTTATTTCCCACTGGGGCTGCCCTGTTCCTAAGGCGGGTCTTCCTGCCTGTCCTCCTGCAGGCTCGCGTTTCCTCGTGGAACTCGCTCCACCAGCACTCTGCTCACCTCTTCTCCCTCGTCAGACCCTTCCCTCCCCTCCACACACTGTTCCCTCCCCTCCACACACTCTTCCCTCCTCCATACTATCAGTGCCCCTTTTCTAAGAGATGGACAAAGATTCTGAGTCCAGGAGATACCAGCAGCTCGTGGGCTCTGTCTGGGAATTGGCGAGGCTCTGACATGCTGGGTGGGTGCCTCTGCCCAAGCAGGTGAGATGTTTCCAAGGACTCGGTTTAACCCTGTGAGGGGATGGGGCACTGCTGCTCTGCTGCCCGGGAAGCTGGCATGTGACGCATGGAATCAGCTGTTCCCTTCCCAGTGCAGACCTTTGGGGTCCACGTGGCACCCCTCTGACCTGGTGTCCTGGGTGATGTTCTGGCAGGGCTGTTCTCTCTGGGGCCACTCGCACTTCTAGTGGGTGCCTGTGCCTGGTCCTTCTTGTCCTGTGTCCTGTGAGCAGGCCGAGGGAGGGGCTGTAGCTGGGGCTCCCAGGCAGTGGCCGTGGTGGTGCAGACGTGCTGTGTGAGTGGTCGCAGGGCTCCTTCTGCACTGAACCACGTGGACGTCTCCCCCTCCCTCTCCTCCTTGGCTTTGACATGATCTATCCACTCCCAGCACGTCCTGTGCCCGCTGACCTTTGCGTCAGATGAGGCCGTCTTGCAGGGGGCGACGTGGGGTTCGGGTGGCATCAGGACAAGGAGCGGGTTGGACAGGCTGTGCGGTGACGTCAGTGGGCTGGGAGCACGCACTTCTCAGGGCCGAGTCTCAGGAATGTGTGACAGGCAGCTGGCAAGCAGAGGNCCCTTCTCCCTGAGGTGCTGGGCACGCACTTCTCAGGGCCGAGTCTCAGGAATGTGTGACAGGCAGCTGGCAAGCAGAGGACGGGACTTGTGTTGTTGCTGCCACGCCCTGGGATCACTGGGCCCCTCGCTCTGCCAGGGTGACAGGTGAGGCTGATGTTTGGCTTAGTTTTTTGGTGAGGTTGCCTTTTGGAGATTGCAGCCAGAATTCTGGGGGCTATGTATGTGTACATAATGGTTTAATTTATTAAATTCATAGATGGGGTTTGCACACTGAGAAGCTTCAATGGGCTTGGGGAGGAAGCATGTCTGCCTGCCCCTGGGCGGCTGTGCCCAGAACAGACGGGAGGCTGCAGGGAGGCGCACGTCCCGGGTTCCTGGGCTCGATGGAGGTGGACACTCCATGCTAGCTGCTGAGTCAGGTGTCACGTGTCAGCAGCATCTTCCCAGGTCAGCTGCTCGAGGGAGGCAGCGAGGACAGCCTCGTCCCGAAGTGAGCGTCTGCGAGGCTCAGCCTCGGAACCTGTGCATCACTTGCCACGCTCACAGGTATAAATTCCCGAGTAAAACATCCCTGTGACTAAGTGCTCAGAGCATCTTCTGATCTTGTTTTAGTGAGCGCGGCTCCAGCCCACAGTGGGCACTGCTGTGTCTTGTGCAAAAGTGGGCACAGGTGTCTGAAGGCTTGATGTGAGCTGAGTCCGTTTCTGGTGTTCTGAGTAAATGTTCCTGGGAAGCCAACAAAACACTTGTGATTCAAACAGACTTTCTGTCCTTTTTAAAGACACTGTCCTGTTGAGCTTCCAAGCCAGACCCCTCCGATCCTGGGCGTGTAGCCTGCGCAGGCACGGTGGTGACCCCCAATGCGCTGCCCCGGCCTCTGGTGCCCTTTCAGCTTTGTGTCCCGGTTCTCGCCCTCCTACTAAGCTCAGGTTGTGAAACTTAACTAGGAGATGTTGCAGGGACCAACTGAGGTTTCCAGGAGACTTCGACTTTCAAGTACCTCTTAGAAACAGCCACTGAAGAGCCTGAGCAAGAGCGATGCCACTGGCAGTCTGACCTCTTGGAAACCCCACCCCTTCCTCAGCAGCCTCCACGTGGCCTTTTGTCCTCTTGGCTGTTTCACCCAGATTAACCTCCCCGGTAAGGTTGCTCAGGCCCCAGCACAAGACACTTGTGGGCACCTGTGAACCCCTTGTTCCTTTGACCAAAAGGGCATGTCTGTCCATCCTTTCAATCCACAGACGTTAAGGGTCTTGGCTGCTATATGAACACTAATTATAACTTACCCTGAAAACAAGAATAAAAGAAAGAACATGTAATAAATTTTCATTCCCACCCCAGTAAACTTTGGGGTGGGGCATTTCCTATTTCCCCACCCCTAGGGATTGTGGTTGGTTTTAAATTTTCTAGGAAGCAGAACCCTGAGCTTCACCCACAAGATGTTGCTGGGGCCCCAGGGGCACTAAGCAGTTTCTTCCTGCCTGAGAAAGGGCGTCAGCGTGTCCTGCTAACATATTTTTAATAACTGCTCTTCAAACAGGTTTATTTTGGATAAGACTAGGACTTCCAGCAGTTTGTTCTGATACCTGTGTTCTATGTCGGGTTCTCTGTCGGGAGCTGTGAAAAGAAGAGAAAGGTTCCTGGTGGGCCGCCTGGTCCCGGGTGTGGCTCTGTCAGCCACTGCCAGGCGCTGGTCCCGTTCTCTACGTGGATTTGCTGATTTGAGCCTTAGAGAGCTAGGACATTGAAAGCCATAGTTTGTCATTTGCGAAGGTTACAAACTCCCTGCTGTTTTGCTACTTGTCCCAGTGAAGTTGGTGGCCACTAGTTAAGTAAACCAGGAGACTTGGCAAGTTCCTGGTGTGATAATCCCAACAGGTTAGCAGGCTGACCTTCTCGGCAGATGTCCATTGGACGTGATGCCTCACAGGGAGCCCGACTTCCAGGTCGGTCTCCAGAATGAGAGACGGTGGGTTTAGAGCTGCAGGTAGAACCGTTAGGCACCTCGGGCCTTGGAGATGCTGCTGGCCTGTTCTCAGCACGTTGGCAGTGTGGTTGGGCGGCCACCCCAGGGCTGCCACCATGGAGCCATTGGCTGAGGAGGGAAGGCCCATGCCAAGGAGAGGTGCCCATGTTCCGTTTAGTATTTGTGCTGGTTTACAACACGAGAGACAGTGACAGACTGTTATGTGCTTTCAAACAATCTTTACAATGCAATACTTGTTCTTTGAAATTCAAATAAAGAATTTTTAAACTTGCCTTGTTCTGTATGAGAGAAAAGACTCAAATGCGTCTTCAATGCTAAGTGATTAGTAATGAGGCTGAAAGCCTAAAACCAGTCACTGTTTAGATGAAATTATTGAATTCTCCCAGCCTGGTGAAGTAAGAGTTTCCTTTATTGTGTCCAGAAATTTGAACTATAATCCTATCAAGGAAAATAAATCTAGAATCTCATGTTTTACCCTTCTGTGGGAACTGGATGACTCAGCCACACTGAAGGCCGAGTCCCAGATGACAGACAGCACTGAGGAGAGGCTGACCATTGACCACTGTTGTGTCCCTCCTCCCAGACCCACTTTCCAACATGGTCCCTTGACTGGTGAGCAGCAGGACCGGTGTGTGGACCCGGCACACGGCTCCTCACCACGTTGCCCCACCTCCGGAGCTCACACTTGAGCAGCAGAAGAGTGAAGGTGGGACCCAGCCACATGGCTAGGTCTCTGGTGGCAGGAGGACAGACCCTCTTCCTAGTCCCAAATCTCCAGTAAACACTTTGTATCAGAGTTGTTTTGGGGAGTGAAGTATTGGGAGTGGGGCTCAGTGTGGTGTACCTAGAGAAGGTAAGGCCTCATGACAGAAAAGCAAGACAACAGGTGAACTGGAGTCAGAGAAGCAACGAGTGAGTAGGGAACTAAAACCCCCCACCCC